TGATTAGCAGTTGTTGTTTGTATTGGTGTTAAAGTTGCTGTTGGTGCCGATGCTGCAGATACCACCACCACCACCACCACCACCACCACCACCACCACCACCACCACCACCACCATCACCGCCATCACCAACAACAACAACAACAACAACAACAGCAGCAGCAACAGCAACAGCAACAGTACCAGCACCGGCGCCGGCATCGGCACCAGCAACAACGACAACCACCACACCAGCGCCACCACCAACAACAACACCAACAACAACCACACCACCACCAGCAGCAGCAACAACAGCAGCAACAACAGCAGCAACAACAACAAGGTACAAACAAAAACTGCAGCCCCGTCAACCCACATATCCGCTTTCTGTCTGTACATTAGGTAGAGACTAAACATGAGCCCCGTCATGTTGTATGGCCCCCTCCCTCCCAACAACAACAACAACAACAACAATGGCTATGGTGTACAGGGTTTGACGGATTTGCAGTGGAGTTTCAAAGGATTTCCATAGATTTGTAGAGGATTTCCAAGGATTTCACTGGCATTCTGAAGGGATTTTCAAGGATTTCCAAAGATTTCATCCAAAGAAACCAAGGGGAATATCAGGGCGCCTACAGTCGGTGTCCAGGGTTCACGGGCTTTCAGGCTTAAGAACTTGCGGTCTTCTAGTGCGCCTAAACCCCGCGCTTTCCAAAGCATGAGATCTTTCTAAATCCGCTTCCAAATACCACAACAACCCTTGAAAACCATCCTGAACACCATCAACACCCTTCCAAACCCCGCCCTTCGCAATCCCACTATCAATCCTTCAAAATCCTAGTCCTAGTAATCCGTTCAAAATCCCACTGAAGGTCCCTCAGCTTAAAGCAGCCCTGAACCCCTGCAGCACCCGAACCCCCTGAACCCCAGAGACTAGACCCCAAACGTCAAAACCTCGCAAGATCCGAGGGCAGGTCTCTCATAAGAAGACATTCCACCTTGTCCTTGTCGGTATCCTGTCATATGTATTCTTTAGGGTTTAAGGATATCATTACTTCTCTGGACTATGGGAATCAGGACACATAGGGCCACATAAGAGTCCGGCTTTAGGCCTACTTGGGGGCAAACTGCGCTGAAGCTTGCGGGCCTCGTCGGCTTCAGTTGTGGGGGGGGGGGGGGGGGGGNNGGGGGGGTGGATTCTATCTAGGGAGGTGAAGGCTTGGGTTTTCAAATTTTGACGCGACGGTTTTCTGACACGTCCAACCTGCGCAACCGTGCTGCGTCTCAGCTCCGAGCCGACTTCTTCCCGTCGTCTTTGTCCTTGTGCTTCTCTAGGACCTGCGCAGCAATACCCTACACTGCAAGGAGTCCGAGCAGACCGGCTTCAAACTTGAGCTTTGAATTATAATGTAAGCTGTATTCAGCCGCTGCAAGGGTATGTTCTTAAGTACGGAGTGTTCAGGCCCCTATGCCAAACCCATAGTGACCCTAGTGTTTGACAACGACGTTTCCTTCCAGATGCCAGGAAATGGCTCGAAGGGCGGCTGGACACCCGCAGCAGCAATGATGGACCTGACCCAACATTCACAATGAACGGTGTCAATCAAGCAAAAGTAGCTTAATAGCTTGAACGCCAAGGTCCGTGCGCAAAGGACTTCTGCCCTTCACCAAACTCGGGGGAAATATGCCATTTGTCATCATGCCAGAAAAGATACCTTGGTGACATGTTGGCTACTATTGACCACAGATAGCAGGTTAATTGTCTCAGAACCGCGCATGTTCTTAGCGGGATCCAATCTGCTGACCTTGACGTAGGCTGGCCTGCAGATTCCCGTCTTAACAGCCGTCTGAGTCTAGGCAGAAACAACGAAAGAAAAGCATACACTTATCTGTTCTGCAACGGGCGACACAAACCCCTTTCTGGCCCTCTCCGGCCTGCCCCGGCTGGGTTTGGGAAACTTCCTTTGTGCAAGGGATGGCTTCAGCATTCCCACTTAATGACAGGCTGCGGGGTTCCTGTCAGCGGTCCCTCAGCAAGACGCTGCCCTCATAAGACTCATCAGACTCATAAGGGGATGACTTGTAGAGGCCATTGATCCTGTCCATGGACGCGGCCTTAGTCGTAGTTTCGATGCCGCGAGGTTGGGCTGTGGTGGGCTGCTGCCACGCCTCTACTCGGAGGCTGCCCGGGAAGTCCTTGATGCTAACCTGACATGAAGTCAGTGGTGAAGCAAATCCTGGATCCTCAGCCCAACACTGACTCTAGATGCCGCTGGCCTTCTCGTACTCGGTATCAGAGTCCACCGCTGGCATGGGCGGCACGGGGCCCTGTGCACAGACTTATGCTGAACTTGCTCATAGAAGCGACCATGCTGATAATTTCGTCACATCTTGATAGCAACGCAAGTTGAAGGAATAACAGACCAAGCTTGGCCAAGGACTTCTGACGTTTCGCTCTTGGCTTTTATGCCACGGGAGCATAGATCCACCTCAAACTCCGACACCTTGCCTGACAGGCTGCCTCCTCGAATGCACAACAGCAAGTACCTACTGAAGTTGGTAGTGGCCGTTGACGGAACATGCAAGACCACTGTGGCAAGTGTGATGGCCAGAACAGCTGCCTCGTAGTCAAACCGCTTTCGTTTCTTGCCTTGATGTGGCGCAAGAGAGCGCACACGCTGCGACTGCTAATCATTTTCTGTCAATCTCACAGGACCCTCTCAGCAGAGCGCCTTTCCCAACGGCAACGGTCTCCGCCTTCCAGCAGTTCGTTTGCCATGGACACTATCTTAAGACAGATCCACATCAACAACAAAACGAACGACCAACACAACCTACCTTTCCTTCTTCCTGATCATACTGCCACTCATGCTCGGTTTGGCCTCCATAATGTCATTGAGCGCGTCCTCGGAGTCGTCGAGTTCCTCCTTCACCTCGGTCTTGACTTCAATCTCGTCCTTCAACTCATCCTTGACATCCTCCTCCTTCTTGACTTCCTCCTTCTTGACCTCCTCCTTGACGCCATCGACGGCAGTCTCAGCTGATGCGGCAGGTGAGTCCTTCGTCTCATTGACACAACTGTGCTCTGCTCATCTCTGCATTCGGCAAAGCCACCTCATTGAACAATCCAAGCACGCTTATAAGGAAGCATGTGCTACACAACTTGAGCATCACGAAGCTACAATCCCCACGGCTTCAGCGGGGTCCTTCTTTCCATCGGCCTGGTCGGCCTCCGCTTTCTGACAACATGAACAGAAACATGCCGTGGTTCGGCAACTGCAACCTTGCCTCTTTCTTGGCTTTCTTTGCCTGCACGTCTGTACAAACCGCGTTTCGGCATGTCAGCCATGCTTAAGTTAAGTTGAAAACATACCACACGGCCGATGTTCAAAAACACGGTCCGCCTTCAGCAAAGCATCATCGCCACCACACGCGAGCCCAAGCATCCTGTGATGATGTCGTCAAATTCTGCGGCTACTCACATCCCTACGCTGCGATATCAAAACCTCAAGACGTCCGGAAACCTTTGGACCATAAAGCCCCCGACAACCTTATACTCCTAAGCGCATTCGAAGCAAACAACTCGGCCGTGAACTCTTTCCGTGCGACGGCGTGGCAGTCAAAGGCCGACTGAAACCTCACGGTCTGGAACGGTCGCATCTGGACATGTGTATGTATATTTTCCATATATTTCTATATAAGCCCCAGATATATATATATATATATACATATCGTACACACACAGCAGAAGCATCCATGCCAGCAAGTCAGCCATTGGGGTGTGCGTCTTAGGGCATCTAGACCCTTAAGCCCTACACCCATACCATCCTTTAAGCTCAGTACCCTGGCCCAAGAAAGTTTAAACTTTAAACTTTTCTTTTCGTAGGGGTTTAATATACCAAAAAAGTTTAAAGTTTACCTATTGGGCTCCTACATCCTACATTCCTCCCTAAACCCTAAACCCTAAACCCTAAACCCTAAACCCTAAACCCCCTGGGCTGGAAGGACCAGCGGCTGAACAGTGCATGAGACCAAAGCGCACGAATCATCGCATTGCCTGTATCCTAAACCCAATAGCCTAAGGGCTTTAGGAGGGGCCCTTAATGGGGACCCTTGTAGGTTATTGGGGTTAAAAGGAGACTACCTGGCTATATAAGGGGTATATAAGGACTATACCATGGTGTTCTAAGGTAATGGGATTAAGGGTCCCTTAGAGATAAGCTCTGAGCCTGTCGACCTGATAAAGATACTCTCTTTCGGGCCTCAGCAATGTGAGTAATTCACATTGCTTGAAGGGGGTATTCTTCTGCAATGAAATAAAATCATGCAACTATAAGGGGGTAGAAAGTCTATATTTCTGATGCCGACCTCTATGTTACGGTGCTCCTTGGAGAAAAAACTATTTCAGAAAATCTTTGTCGGATTTGGCGCTCTGCTGCTTCGGGTAAAAAAAAGGACCCCCAAAAAGAGACTCGAAGACGTAGGACAGTGAATGAAAAGACGACTGCTCGTAAGCAACCCCCGATATGTCGAGGCATAAGATCGATGGGTCGATTCAAAGGGTGAGCACGTCCTTTCAAGCTCTTGAACTTAAAGCATATGCCATCTCAGAGGTTTTCTCTGCTGATGCCTCCGGCATTCAAAACCCCCAAACGTTCATCATACTTGATTCTCATGCTTGTGGGAGTTGCAGCCACATGCGAGTTCCAAGGAGAGGACGTCTGTATCTGCAGACGAAGCGCTCATCTTCCCAGTGCTTCAAGTGCTTAGGATTGGCGTGGGGTAAGTACTGCTGGGTCGGCTTGGGTTCAGGGCTGAGTGGCTTGCGCATGGACTGTGCTTAGGGGGTCTGGCTGCGCGAGCAGCAAAGTACACTAAGCTCTTACTGCCGTGGTCCGCGCTCTTTCTTCTATAGACCTGTGAGCCGATATGTTGTGTTATCACAAGAGGGCGTCCTGCCTTCCGGTCCCCTTTGGGGTAGTGTTTGCTTCTGATCGTTGATGCAGTCTAGCTCACTTGGCCTGTGCAGGTCACAGCCGCTCTTGTCAGTACCCGCGAGGTTCAGATCTTGATCCCGTGCCTATGTAGCATCTACGGATGAACCCGTGAACCCTAAACTGAAACTCTAAACCCAGGCCCATACGCCCAAAATGCTGAATACCGCTGAAGCGTAGTACTCCAAGAGCAGCCGGCACACCGGAGTGCCACATGACAGTGCTCTCAAGGAACTCAGGAAGCCGCCTGGAACAAGGCCTTTTTTGGTCCAGAATGCAACCAAGGGGTTTAGGGTTTTAGGGTTCAAAGGGGCCTGAATGATTAGATCACGGTTGTGCGGGGTTTCTACAAGCAACTGGGAGACTTCTATTCAAAAAAGCATTCCTTGTTCGCAGACTCGCACGGATCCCTGCACTCTCCGGCTTCCCAGCCCCGAAACCGCCAGCCCTAGATAAACCCCAAACCCTAAACTCAAAAACACACTTTTTCGACTGGCCAATCCCATCCGCTCTCCATGGGTCCCAGGAGTCGGGCCGCGATTTCCGCGCCTCGGCGCAAAACGCCGGAGCTCTGGCACACTTTCGGTTTGGGGTTCTTTTTGTTAAAGCACCTTTTCCACCTAGCAGTTAAGGTCGGCAGAATCCAGGGTTTAAGGTTTAGGGTTTGAGGTTTAGGGCTTTGGGCTTAGGTCAACAAGCTGATCGCAGTCACAGCTATGGCATAGAAGAATCAAGCTCAGAACAAACAGCAATCCAGAGTATCCATGATGTCGCCGCAAACGTCGTTGCTCGCCAAGGGACCCAGACCTCCCCCTCGATAGGCCCCACCGCAGCCGGCTGGCAGACCCTGGCGAACCAGAACTGAAAACTCGAACCTTAAACCTTGTAAACAGGGTCAAACTTTCTGCACTCTTGCAGGGACAAGCAGACTAACCAGTAAACTTGCGGATCCTTCCGTTTTGCCAGCGTAGATCCCCAGACAGCGCAAGAGCTTTACTTTACGACGACCATGACGACCGCTGACCGTGACCACCAGCACCAGGACCACCACGACGACCGCATCGAGCAGGACGACCACGAGCACACGGACGGCTACAGAACTCACTGGTGAGCTTGCGTACTCAACTTCCTGATTCCAGCCGCAGTTTTCCCACCCCTAAACCCCTAAACACCTAAACCCTCAACCCTAAACCCCTATAAACCCCTAAACCCGGGTTTGGGGCTATACATTCTAAACCCTAAACCTGGCTTTTATGCTCCTCCTTAAGCCCTTCAAGCCCGGAGTTCCCAAAACCC